ATACTTTTAGTAATGCAAAATAGGCCAAAGCTAATTAAATAAAATTCAATGTCTGCTGCCTAATAAAAAAAAAAATCAAAAGCACCCAAAGGAGCAGTAATGTAAAATACACAATTAAAAGAAAGTTAATCAATTGTGATGCAGAAATGACAGATGAAGGAATTAAAGTACGTGAATGCGGAAAGTTATTTTAACAGTATTATTTATGTCCAAGAAAGTAGAAGAAAGACCCCAAATAGTTAGTGGAGAGAAAAAAGATGTAAGAAAGACCCAAAACAAAGTTATAGAGAAAAAAAAGTCTATAATTTCTGAATGAAAAATACTGTACAGGGTATTAAGGACAGATTAGACATTCCAAAAGAAAAGATTAGTGAACTTGAAGACATAGCTTCACTAACTAGCCAAAACTAAACACTGAAAGAAGGACAGATTAGATATTCCAAAAGAAAAGATTAGTGAACTTGAAGACATAGCTTCACTAACTAGCCAAAACTAAACACTGAAAACCATAAAATTTTAAAACTTTATGAACAGAGCATGATAACTGCAAGCCAGTTTTATATATGCACACATAGGGTGGGCATAGAGTTCATGTGTAATTGACTATGTTAAACTATTTTAAATTGCACATGGACTTTATGTCCACCCTGTATATACGTATATGTGTGTCTATATGTATTATATATCTATAAATTTCATCTAGCATCATTTTTTTCTTCTTGCAAGAATTCTTTGGCTATATCTTATAGTGTAAGACTATTAGTGACAAATTAGCCTTGTATATATAAAAAAGTCACCGTTTTGCCATTAAAAAAATAGTTTAAAAATGTTCTACTGTCTTCCAGTTAGCATTATTTCTTCAACCTTGTGTTATTTCTTCTTTCTTGTATTATGTAATGTCATACTGATTTTGCTACTATGTGAGTAATACGTCTCTTTCTTTCTGGCTGTTTTTAAGATTTTCTCTTTAATCAAATTTTAATCAATTCAAATATGATGTCAATTGGTGTGGCTTTTATCAGTTGTATTGCTCTTAGCTTATACTGCTTTAATCTGAGGTTTCAGAGTTTTACAAGATTTGGAAAGTGTTTACCTAAGTTTTTCAACTAAATTTTCAATCCTTCCTCTCAAGACTCTTTTTTTGAAAACTACAATTACACATGTATTTGGCTTTTGGATGTTGACCCATCTTAACAATGACATTAAAAACTGGAATTTTCCTATTAAAAGAGCAAGAACTAGCTATATAGTGATTACAAGAAATATTTTACATATAAAACATTCAATTTAAAAAATGAAGAATTTAAACCATATTAAGACTAGTCAATAAAAATTACAGTGGTTGTAATAATATTAGATAAAGTATATTTCAGTAAGAAGAATATTTTTAGGCATAAAAGGGTTATTTCATAATGAATAAAGTGGCCACTTCATTGAGGACATCAATTGAAGCATTAATACAGTTCATAATTGAACTTCAAAGTATATGAAGCAATAAAATGAGAGTGTTTTAAGGAAAAATAAATTAGTTCACAGTTCCGGTCAGAGATTTCAACATCCCTCTCTCAGTAATTGATAAATAATTAGAAGAAAATAAGACAGACAAAAAATAACTAAGCTACACTATCAATCAATTGGATTTCATAGACTTCATAGACCAGTTCACTATCCCTCTGGCCATTGGAGGGCCGGACTTCAGGCCCCAGGACCAGTCAGCTGCTAAGCAGGACAGGCAGGGGAGGCAAAAACCACCCAGCAGGTGGATAAATGTCCTTGGTGGGCCACATGTGGCCCACGGGCTGTAGTTTGAGGACACCTGCAAAATTCAAGAATACACATTCAAATATACAAATAACATTTGCCAAGGCCAGATATGTCAGCCAACGTTTTCTGCAAAAGGCTGACTAGTCAATATTTTACCTTTTTAGGCCTTGCATCTCTGTCACATTACTGGTTATGCAACCATTTAGAAATGTAAAAATCATTCTAAGTCTGAAGGCCAAAGACACACCAAGCCTATGTTTGGCCCACAGGTCATAGTTTGCTAACTGTGTTCTAGGACATAAAATGTGTTTTTATTCGTGTTACAAAGTATGATCTCTGACACAGAAGAGTTGAATGTGAAATCACCCATAAAAAGATATTTTAGAAAAGTTCATAAAAATGGGAAACTAAATTACAAAGTTCTAAAAACACGTCAAAGAATGACACAAAAGGGAAATTCAAAGATACTCTGAACTGAAGAGTAATAGGGGAAAAGCAAGTTGTCAGAATCTGTGGGATGTGCCTATTTACACAGCAATTTATAAAAATAAAGACCTTATTTAAAAAGAAGGTCTGAAGTTAATGAAATCAGTTCTTTCATTTTGTGACTGGAAAGTAAGAGCAAATAAAGCCCAAAATAAACAGAAGAATTTGAGGTAAATTTTCAGAGTGGAAATATTAAAAAAAAAAAAAAAAAAAAAAAAACAGAAAAGGGCAAAACAGAAATCAATGAACCAAATAACCGAAGATAAATATTATATAAGATAAATGAAATTGATGAAATCCCATGGCCAGCTTGATCAGGAAAATTTAAAATGAGAGAGAAAGAGAGAGAAAATAGTATGAGCTGCATATGGCAAAAATATGAAAAGTGCCATTGTTACAGATTTTACAGGTTTTGGAAGGATAAAAAGGGAAAGTTATCGACAATTTTATGCTAATAAATTTGATGATTTAAGTGGAATTAGCAAATGGTTGAAAACATAAACTATCAAAGTAAACCACAGTTTATTCAAATAGAACCAGATAAACTTAACAGCCACCTCAGGAGAATTTCAATGGTGGATTCTACCAAAATTTTAGGGAAAAAAATATATATAAACAAACTCTTCCAGGAAATTGATGAGTAGGGAACACTTAGCAAACTCATTTTATGAGTCTACTCTTAATTCAGGCCAGGTGTGTTTGCCTAGGCCTGAAATCCCAGCACTCTGGAAGGGTGGAATGGAAGGATTCTTTGAGCCTGGGAATTCGAGGCTGCAGAAAGCTGTTATTACACTGCTGCACTCCAGCCTGGGCAAAAGAGCAAGACCTCTCTAAAAAAAAAAAAAAAATTCCTAATCAGACAAAGACATCTTATAAAAAGAAAACCACAAACTATTATCCTTAATAAATATATGTAAAAACTCTTTTTCTTTCTTTTCTTTCTCTCTCTCTCTCTCTTTTTTTTTTTTTTTTTTTTTTTGAGACAGAGTCTCACTCAGTCACCCTCAGTAGAGTGTAGCTCACAGCAACCTTGAACTCTTGGGCTCAAGCGATCCTCTTGCCTCAGCCTCCTGGGTAGCTGGGTCTACAGGACCCCTCCACAATGCCTGGTTATTTTTAGAGATGGGGGTCTCACTTTTACTCAGGCTGGTCTTGAATTCATGAGCACAAGCTATCCACCTGTCTTGGCTTCCTAGAGTGCTGGGATTATAGGCATGAGCCAATGCACCCAGCCTTGTAAAAACACTTAAAAATTTAGCAAAGTGAATCAAACAATATATAAAGGGATAGAATATCAGGATCAGGGGAGATTTATTACTAGAATAATTTGTCATTGGTTTAACATTGAAAGTCAATCAATAAAATTGACCATTTTAATGGCCAGGGGGAAAAAGAGGAGGAGAAGACAATAGGTGATCATCTCAATAGATGCAGAAAATGCATTTGACAAATTCCAACATCCATTTATATAAAAAATTTTAGGAAACTAGAGCTGACTTTTTCTCAGTCTACAAAGGACATCCTTAGAAAGTCTATAGGTAACATCATTTTTAATATTTTTAATAATGAAAACATGATTTTTCCCCCTTAAATTGAAAAAAAGAATGTCCAGTCCTGTCATTTCTATTCACTTGTACATTAGAAGTTTGAGCTAATGCAATCAGGCACAAAGACAGAACAAAATGCATTTATATTGGAAAAAATAACTAAACAAATAAAGATTTTCATCTTTATTTGCCAATGATTAGATGATTCATACAGAAACCAATGGAACCTATAGAAAAGTTGCTAATAAGTGAGTTTAGTAAGATTACACAGATAAGGTAAAAATACGAAATTCTTTGTGTTTCTATATACTAAATGAACAATTGGAGGTGGATATTCAATATGTTATTATATTTAGAAGAGAATCAAAATACATGAAATATTTGAGAAAATTCTGAGATAACAAATGTGAGAGCTCGTAGACTGAAAATTATAAAACATTGCTGAAAAAAATAGTAAGAATAGAGACATTATTTTCATGAATCATAAAACTCAATATTATCAAAATATCTTAGATATGACACAAAACATGAGGCACTAAATAAAATATTGATGAATTTGACTTCCTCAAAAGTAATAACTTTCTGATTTCAAAGACAATGAAAATAACAAGCCTGAGATTTGGATAAAACTCTTATAAATCATGTATCTGAGAATGGTTGTGCAGCCTGACTATATACTGCATCCTGAAAGCTTATAATAAGAAGAAAACAGACAAGCAATGCATACTTTTTTTCTTTTTATAATACAGTACAGCAGGTACCAACTCCCATGGGTATGAGAAAATCTGCCTGCCAACCCACATTCTAAAACTGTGGGGAATGTTACTGGTCTGAGCACTAATAGAGGCACTGGATGCCCGGTCTGTGAATCATGACCAGCAGCTTCTCTCCCCCAGACCTCAACACACCAGGACCAGAGTTGTGTCAAGATGTGACTCTAGTCTCTGTGGGAAGCAATACAAAAGAAGATATATATACATGATAAATAAGCACATGAACGGTTTCTCAACATCATTAATTATTAGAGAAATGGTTGCTAAAACTCTGATGAGATAATACTCTATGCATCCATGAAAAGAGCTAAAAATTTAAAAAAAATTTAAAAAGAGCTAAAAATTAGTGAAGTAACTGGGTCTCTCACACTTATGCTCTGGTGTAAAACATAAAAGAGTAAGAATGTAGAAGAAACAATTCCAAAGAATAATTTGGAAGTTTCCTAACAAGAGATTCTCTCATTTGTCAGATTCCCTTATTTATACCCCATTTGATGGTCGAGGATGGAGGAGGCAGGGAGCCCACTTAGGAGAGCAGTGTGCGCCTGTTCCCATGGGAGAGAATGGAGGAGGCAAGGCACCCACCTAGGAGAGCAGGATGGTTAACTAAAAACCTACCACAAAATTCAACTATTCTCATCTCCCATATTATTTGCCAAGTGTTATGAAAGGAGGTACAGGGACCCATATGGAAATGTAAGTAGAAGACTTATTTTTGAACAACAGAATGAAAACAATCTAACTGGTCATCAGCAGGTAAATGTCTAAACACCTTTTGATATGTTCACATAATATAGTCCACTCTGAAATTTAAAAAGAATGGATTTGACCCTTGGAGCTATACAGATGAATATCACAAGTATTATTCCGAGGAAAGATTTGAGATTAAAAAATATTATCACACTTCATGAACATTTACATTTATATTACATTCTACAAAAATATCAAGTGATAGATGATGACAGAAAGCTGAACACTGGTTGCTTAGCAGAGGGAAGTGGGAGGTATTACCAAGGGCCATGAGAAAAAGTTTTGGAATGATGCAATTTTTCACTGTCTTGATTATGGCGATTATTTCATGAGTATATATGCCCAGTAAAACTTAGCAAATTGCACACTTTAAATGTGCAGCTTATTGTATATCAATTATAAGTCCACAAAGCTGTTAAAACTATCTTGCATTATGACAAAAATTAAACACTAATTATGGCCTTCTCTTAATCTCTCTCTTAATTTTAATGGTTTGAGATACTAACACCACAGGCTGTTTGATTGAATAAATACCATTAAAGGAAATAGAAAACAAGGTGAGTATAAAACCAGTTGCTATATCTTGGTCTAGACCCAGAAAGGTTAGACATCTGACAGAATTCAAGGCACATTTTAACAAACTGGTGGAGATTAAATTATTGTGATGAATACTATAGGCAATCTCATAACAATTGGTCCTCTGTACTTGCAACACTGTGGTGCCTTTAACTGAAAGAAAGAAGATAGGATTATACTGGTTTCTTAATGTCAAAATATAATCCTAGTGAGAAAGTGATGTGCATATTTTACACATCACATAGAAGGGAGTGGGGGAGTAGGCACCAGATTTAAGCTTTAAATTTTACTGCCCATAAAATATATATATTTTTGCCTATTTCATTTCTTCTACATTTCCACCTATTAACAACAGTAAATTTTCTTTTTTTGTTTGTTCTGTTTTTATTTATTTATTTTTTTAAATCATAGCTGTGTACATTAATGCAGTCATGGGGTACAATGTGCTAGTTTTATGTGCAATTTGAAACATTTTCATCAAACTGGTTAACATAGCCTTCATGGCATTTTCTTAGTTATTGTGTTAAGACATTTATATTCTACATTTAGTAAGTTTCACATGTCCCCTTGAGACTTGTTTTTATTTATTTATTTATTTTCATTAATTTACATAGTTAACAACAGTAATTTTCATAAAAAGAAAGTACAACTATCAGATTCTCTTATTTATACCCATTTAATGTTCATGTCAAAAATAATTCCTTCAGAATTGTATTTTTCTTTTTTCTTTTCATCTACAATAAATGTTTCTTTTTTCTCTTCCTTTTTGTGTGTGTGTGTGTGTAGAGACAGAGTCTCACTTTATCACCCTTGGTAGATTGCCGTGGTGTCACACAGTTCACAGCAACCTCCAACTCCTGGGCTCACGTGATTCTCTTGCCTCAGCCTCCCAAGTAGCTGGGACTACAGGCACCCGCCACAACACCCGGCTATTTTTTGGTTACAGTTCAGCCGGGGCCAGGGCCAGGTTTGAACCCACCACCCTCGGTATATGGGGCCAGTGCCCTACTCACTGAGCCACAGGCCCCGCCCGATAATAAATGTTTCAATATTTTATGTTAATAAACTTAGCAAGGCATAGAATGAACTATGTGGGGATAAACAAAAATAACCCTGCCTGCCTCGTGCTTACAGTTTACTTAAGAGGATAAGAATAAATGTAGTATGGTAAAATATTATTGGGGGTGAAGGGTAGATGAAATTTCTGGAAATGGATAAAATGATCAATGTTAATGTGTTCTTCACTTAGAGTTTGAGTGATCAGCTCTGGGAAAGTGTTAAGAGTTTCATTTTTACTTTATATACTTGTTTATAATGAACACAGAACATATATATTTTTCTTTATAATTTTTCTCATAAAAACAGCATCCACCCCCTCTGATTCTGGAATAAACATCAAAATCATCAGCATGGCTTTAAGGCCCTTTGTAATCTGACTTCTGCTTTCCTATCATTCTTGATTTCCCTGACGGCTCATCATTGTTTTCTTTATCACAGTGTAGCAATTCTTAAAACCTGCAATTTCTTTCTTTCTGTCTATCATCTATGTATCTATTTATCTATCTATCTATTCATTCATCCATCTATCCATGCCTCCATCTGTCCTTTTATCAGTCCATCTATTGACGCATCCCATTACTCCTTGATCACCATATTTTTCCCAAGTGTTTATCCCAGTGCAGAGAATCAACAACTACTTGAATGAAGTATTTTGTGGTTGGCCACAAAAATATTAAATTCCTGTTGACAAACTACACAGAAATGTATGTGAATCGTAAAACAATTTATATAGTGTTATCAAAAAGCATGCATAGTACTTTCATAAAGAAATGCTCCATGATACTAGACAGAAAGATACAATATTTTAAAGATGGAAAATCTATTTAAATAAATCTGCTACTTTAATGTAATCACACTCAAATCTTTAGTGGACTTTAAAACTCAGATTCAAGTTGTATATAGTTAATTTGGATGAATTAGCTAGTGGAAAACTATTGAGAAAAATAGTTTTCCAAATTAAATAGTTTTCCTAACTAATTTCCTTTCCTGAACTAAAGGAAAATATAAACTTTTCCTTTATATTTTTTCTTATTTCATTTTATATATATTATATAAGTATCTATAATATATATTTCCTTATTCCTTTATATCAAACTATTGCTTTGATGGAAAGAAATTATAGTCCAGGAAAGCAGTTGCTTGCTTTGTTAGATACTTGAACATATTATTTAAAAAATCAAGAGTAAAATTTAGGTTTCAGAAGAATGAAATGACAGATGAATCTACCAGAAAAAAATAAAACTTCAAATTATACCTACTAGGGCTATTTCATAGAAGCTATTGTTGTGCCCAAGTTGCAAGATCCACCACAAATCACTCCAAGACTGAATCCAATGCAAAAGCAAGAGATTGTTTCTTAACAAGCTCAAGCCAGAGCTTCCTGATCCTGTTGTAGCAGGAGAGCAGAGAAGCCCTGACCCTAAGATGGAGGGAGTTTTTAAGGGTACAGAAAGGAAGAAGGGAGGGGTAGGTTACTGGGGAGAGTTGATAGGGGCCTTGGGTGGTAGGGTGGCACTTGTCTTAAGCTGATTGGTCTGGGCATGGGTTGCTATCACTCGGGGCAGATGTTGTGCAATGGTACAGATCATGGGGCGAGCGCAGGGGTGAGGGAGGACGTTAACGGTTCTGGTGTGCAGCTGCAAGAGAAAAACAACGAGGCAGCAAAAATAAAATTTAAACAAAATGGAGTCAGTTTGGTCCTCACACTATATATATAACATATGTTCACAGTCACGTATAGTGAAATGGTTGAAAAATAGCAAAGTCAGATTTCCCATCTCACACATTTTCTATCTGAATGAATTTCAACATAATTATTCAATATAAAATATTTAAAAAATTTTAAAAACGTATTTCAATACTTTTCCACCTGTCTAGATATTTTTTCCTTCCTGTGTGTATGTATGTCATAGTATAGAAGATTTTTTTTAATTTTGAAATGAGGGATAAAGCCACTTATTAGAACATAAACATTGTTTAGTCAAAAGTCAAATAAAATTAAATAAAGAAATAAAATAGCTGGAGAAAATATTTACAGCATAAAGATGTCCCAGGTAGTTTTATGCCTAAATTAGAGTTCCTGTAATTAATATTTTAAAATGCCTATTAGAAGGAAAAATGAATAAATGTAATGAAAGGAAATTTTCAAAATAAGAAGAAAAACAATGGCCAATATAAAAACATGTGTATTCACACCAATATGCATAAAAACCAAGCTCAGTATCAAGTAAATGTAAAATATCAAGAGATTAGGTGACATTTTCAGCTGTCACATTGCAAAAGTGACTTATTTTGATGAAAATGACTATGATTAAAAAGGCTGTAGATTAACAGGACCTCTCATCCATGTTGGTTCAGTGGGTCTGGAAGGAATTATATATGAAAAAACGTGTATCACATATCTTTAAAACAAGGCATCAACCCTCCATATCCACCAGTTCTACATCTGCGGCTGAAATAAACCCCCAAATACCCCAATAAAAATAGAAATACAACAATAAAAATTACAAATGAAAATGTAGTATGACAACAATTTACATGGTATTGGCTCTGTATAAAGTATTATAAGTAATTCAGAGATAAAATAAATTATTTAGAAGGAAGCACATAGGTGCTGTTCCAGTAACCAAGCATTTTATGTAAGTAACATTGTAATACCCACTGGAATTCTGGAAGCAACAACCAGCTGAGACTCAGGGAGGATTGTACTCATGCCCTTAAAAAGTAATTCATTTTCCAAAATGTTCATAGAAATTTGTTTATCACCGTATTAATCTAATGAAATACTGG